AAAACCTCGAAATTCGCCAGAAATGATTTTATTTTTCCAATAACGCTTGTCAATAATAGGCAATCCTCCTTACGCTTATAATCCTTGGTTTGCGTCAATATCGGCGCTTGTCAATAATGGGCACTCCTCTCGACGCTTATAATCCTTGGTTTGTGTCAATCAATAGCTGTCTTTCTCTGTTCCTTTACGTTACATCTTTCTTCTCTCTCGAGTAACGAAATTTGCCCGTGACGCGTTTTTCAAATCACTCTCCATTGTCGTTCAAATAGCAGAAAGCCGTTTAAGAAGTTTCTTTTCAAAAATTATTGAAATGAAAATAATCTTGATACAATTTTGGAACATAAATAAAAGTTGTAGGATATGTTAAGTGTGTGCTGGCGCTATTTGACTGTGAGTTGGTGGTATACAGAGATCAATGGTGGCTTCATCTCTGTCATTTTCAGGAGAATAAAACATAGTTTATACTAAAGCTTATTTTTATTCTCAACAATCATTGCCAATATGGTTAATAGGACTGTGAGTGCGACTACCATCTAAATTGTAGCAATATTCATAATCATAAAAATGAAATACGTCTTTATCGTCACCCTTGAATATTTTTTTTTTTCAATAGATATTGAGTATTTAAATAGAAACAGATCCCAAATTTCCGCATACTTTTTTCCTCAACCCATGTTATTTGTGGATGAAATGAATTAAAAATTCCACCACATTGATTGCAGATGTTCGGCAACTCCCATGACGTTACAGGTTATCCTGGTACTGGCAGATATGAATAGGCTTTTAGAGGGTTATGATCCTATTGATACTTATATTTAGAGCTTAAAGTTGTTGGAGCGTCCAGCCTGTAAGAGACATTGTTTAGTATATAACACTGCAATTGAAATGATACACACCGCTTTCTTTTTCCTGGAATTCTGTGAACTTTTTGTTCAGGATGCCTGAAAACCCAAATGACCAAATTTATTTATGAGCAGGGGGTGGTAGTGGCAACCGGTATCTTTCTAGCACTTTACTGAGGCTATTTGGGCCCCTTATAGGCTACTTCCAGTTTCAACTTGAAAGTGGTTGTGTCATATTTTAGTCCTCTATTATGTTATTCCATAGTTACCGTGATTTGTTGAAGGAAAAACCAGTTCTAAAACCCCTTCTTCTCGTTTACGTGTACGCATGTTTGCTGAATTCGGTGGGTCGGTTGCTCAAGAATGTGCGAAGTTAGTTTTCTCATATCCTTGCGCTATTTAACTGTTTGCTCTAAATTATATTTTCGCAAACGCATTTTCTGCTATCCTGGTAATTGTGTCATAAAATCATTCAGTCCTCCGTCCGTCCTAATACTGGATAGGTATGCCACAGCTAATTTCAAAACGTGCTTCACGCTGATAGGGTCCTGCTTTGATGAAAGCCGCTATGTTGCAATTCGGTTCTTGAAAGATGTTTTGACAAGACTAACGTCTTCCTCCTGCTTCACCAGGTGTTGGCTCGGTGCTAGAGACACCGAAGATGACCAACCCATTGATTTATCGGTGCCTCCAAATCGCAATACTCACACCACCGGCATGTGGCTGATATTGAAGGTCCTGAAAATAATTGAATTATATTTAAAAAATTCGCTTAATGTCAACTTACCAGCAAAAGTCTAGCTTGCTTCATCATGGGGGCGGCGGGATCTCCAGCCTTTCGTTTGGAGGCTCTCTTGGAGCTGGGTGTTTAGGTGGTGTTGGATAGCCCCCTCTGCTTTAAAAATCCCACCACATTGGTTACAGATCTTGGAAGATGATTAGCAATCCCATGACGTTTCAGGTTATCTCCTTCCTGGTGAACGATTTTGTGCACAAAATTAAAAATTCGCTGTTTATAGAGATTTGTTTTAAAATAAATGAAAAAATAAAACCAGTTTAAATTGGTTAAAGAACCTACCTAAATTTTAGAAAAAGAAATTTGAGTTTTGTGCAAATGTAAGTGTAAAAGTAAATTCAAGTTGCTCCGAAAAAAACTATTGGAATTAAATTAAGAAATAGGTACTCAGGGTTGTCGGTATTTTTAAAAAACAAACAATATGTTTATGTGTTAATGAAAATAAAAATAATTCAATAATCAAGGTTTGTGTTAATTTAAAATATGTCTCAGGGCATGATTTATCCTACATCACTTAGATATTTAAAAATAGTACTTACAGTTTTTCGAAACCGACACTTATCGCACAAAAAACTAAACTTTGAAAATCCAGGTTCAAAGTACTGGTACTGGATGCTGCGTTTTTTGTACAAAGAATAAAAATTGAATCCTCATCTTTTACAGGTAACAATGTATCCACTGAAATTTTGTATTGCATAGGGTTTTTGGCTCATACAATGTCAACGATGCTAATTTAAATCTATTCTTTTAAATTTTGATAAATCGATTGAATTTGTCACCTTTTTTAAAATAAAAATGGACATATTAAATATCTAACTTAATAATTACGCCTTAAACTAAAAAATTATCTTTAAAATGTGTTGTTGTTTTTCTCGGGCGGTTTCTGTGAACGGTCCTGATATAATTCAGATAAAAAAACTGCCGATTAAGTTTTTACATTTGGCGGTGCTTTTTGTATGTGATACTTCGAAGTTTAAATCGGATTTTATAATAACAAGCTTCTTTCAGTCTCGCTCAAACTGGTCACCAGTGAAAAATATAAAATTATTGCACAACAATTAATTTGATTTTAACCAAGTAAGTAAATATCTTATATACTAATATCAATCAACAACAAGACCTGTTTTTTTTTATAGCAAAGGATTAAAAACACTGAGAAAATTACAAGACCTGAAGCCTCATAGAAAGTGAAATTCCCAATATTTTGGCAGCGTTTTTTGTATGTTATGTTGTTAATTCGAAGTTTGAATCGGATTTTATAATAATTAAGCTCTTTCAGTCTTGTTTGAGACTCGTCAACAACAATAAAATTATTGCACAACAATTATCATTTTAACCAAGTAAGTGAATATCTTATATACCTACTAATATCGATACAATTATGAATATTTTAGATATGGATTTGAAATCAATCAACAAGGCCTGTCTTTTTATAACAAAGGATCAAAAACGCTGAGAAAATTATAAGTCCTCGTATAAAGTGAAAGTTCCCAATATTTTCTACGATACAGACCTCAAAATAATTGCAAATCTTTACTGGAACCAATAAACTATACAAATTAAGGTAGATCAACAGATGTCAAGCGAAGTTCGAATTAAAAGGGGTGTCCACAGTGTTGTATTCTTTCTCGTCATTATAAAACTATTGCACAGCAATTATTATTTTACCCAAGTAAGTAAATATCTTATATACTTAGGTAATCGATACAATTGTGGCATATTTTTAGCTATGGATTTGAAATACTCGTTGAATTTGACGACAACGCATAGTGTTTCTCCCAAGACGTACCACCAAAATGATTAGATCATTAAGCAGTTTATTGATGGAAAATATTCGCTTTTTGAAATCGTTGTCTTAAAAAATGTATGTTTTTAATAAAAAAACGAGGCCCCTTTCCCATCAAACGTTGGTTCCAACCAAGGATAATACACACTACTACTACAGGATAGCCTATCCTCATAAGGCCTGTGTGGAACAAATCCACTCTCTCCCCAACGTTAAATCACCAGTTGTGACGTAAGCAGCATGTTATTTCTCGCCTTGACGTAGGTTGTTTAAACAGCTGATGGCTTAGTTATGGCGTCGTAAATGGTAACACACGAGGTCAATAAGCAATCTTGTAGGTGTGTATCATCCTTGAGTTCGAACACCCTCTACCAGGTACAACATGAAGCTAGCTGCTGGACCCTCATAGTTACGTCTCCACCACAGCATCCTGTTATAAGACACATCGAACTTGACACATGTACGCTAGATGGTGCCACGGACGTGACCCAGGTCGCTATGACGTCATCACAGAACCCGAACTTTGCACTATGTACTCTAAATGGCGCCACGGACGTGACCCAGGTCGCTATGACGTCATCACAGAACCCGAACCATGAATCGAACTTTGCACTATGTACTCTAAATGGCGCCACGGACGTGACCCAGGTCGCTATGACGTCATCACAGAACGCGAACCCTGAATCAAACTTTGCACTATGTAGGTACTCTAAATGACTCCACGGACGTGACCCAGGTCGCTATGACGTCATCACAGAACCCGAAACGACTCAAAACTCCCGCTATGACGTCATGACGTTTGACAGGTGACGTTTGACAGGTGACGTTTGACAGATGACGTTCAACAGCTGACGGTTGACAAAATGGCGGGAAAACATTTCCCCCCCCCCCCCCCCACCCCTTTTTCTGGTACCCATAATAAAATCCGGGGGCCCCTTTTTGGGGGGCGCAGCCCTGCGGGCTCCCTTTTTTGGTGGGGGCGGAGCCCTGCGGGCCCCCAACTACAGCATCCTGTATTACGAACTTCACACTATGTACGCTAGATGGCGCCATGACGTTTGACAAGATGGCGCCGACGATGCATCCACCTTCGTGTCAACGACGGCGCATCCACCACGTGTCAAGAATGAAAGATTGAGGTTATGGTCGGATTTTGATGCTAGGACCCGCTTTGACTATCTACTAACAGATATACTATTTATAACGTTTAATAAATCATTGTTAAGCTGACTTTATACAGAGTAATTATCTCATACCAAAATTCTATTATGGAGGCACTTGCTAGATGGACCGTCTAGGGAATTGTGAAAAAATACCCAACTTGCCAAGACATAAACTGATTACAAGATTATGCTGCTTAAGTTTTCGTTGCCATAAGAAACATTATCACAGCGAACTAATAATGACGCCACAAGTACTGCATAATTTTCAACATTTGGGTTAATTGAACAGTACCTGCTCTTAAGGAGCTTATGTTGAATTACGTCTACTTATATCTTTTTTTAATAAATAAAGCTCTATACCAAAGAATACCAGGTTTGATGATACAATTAATTCTTACTTTCTAGACCAATCATCAAACAACTCCAAAATGTACCACTTTAATTTTTGGAGGCACCAAACCCGTTTCTCCACTCTCACCTTCCCCTTCTTTCCTCACAGGGGCAAAATCCTTTAAATAATCCTCATTAGGATGACACAGCGGTAAACTGGCAGCCAACTCACGCTGCGGGTCAGTCAAGTGGGGAGGCAACGGGGGAGGTTTAACTGCCCTTTTGACTTCAGGTACAATAAATGCAGTGACTGTATCGGAAAATTTAACATTTTTCGTTTTGGGCAAAATATTTTCATCAAAATCAATCAGATTTTGATTGTTTTTTGGTGGTAATTTTTGTACATTGGGCAATGGTGGCTTGAATCTATAAAATGGAACAGGCAACCCTGGAATATTATGCTCCATATCATTGTTAGTGGGAATATTATCTACATATTCCCGAATATACGACCTGTATAGCGGTGTTTGTTGTTGTTTCACAAAATCCAGAGGCACCTGAGGAGCTTTAACATATGTGGCCCGTGGAGGAAACGTTTTCTTAGCAGCATTTAAATTTTCTGGTGGTCTCTGGTTGTATGTAGTCGGATTGGGCTGCATAAAATCCGTGGTTATTTCTTTAGGCATTTCTTCTTCATAGTTTGTGCTGCTACAGCTCTGGCTGTCTGAGCATTGAGAACACAAAGATCGGGAACAGTTAGAAGCTGAAAAAAACAGGTATAGCATTAGTTGAAGAAACTATAAAATATGTATTGTTAAAAAGCCAAGTTTTTACTATTATGTTGGCAATGTATCCAAATGACTGGTATCAGTGCCAGTGGTTACTAAAAAAAATTTTTGGGATTTTTATAGTCAATTGAGTAAACAAACTTTCAGAAAGATAAGTTACAATACAATCAAATTCTTCCCAGCTATAAAAAAAATATTGTAATGTCTTAACAATGTATTCAAGTGACTGCCTAAAAACTTGAAAGTCACGGATGATATGTTATGTGTCTGTTAATTTTTCGCAGGCCTAGTTTCCAATTTTCAGTAAGATTAGTTATATGCCAAAAATTGCGAAAAAAGGTGTAAATATTGTGAAAAAAGAGTGTTGGATGCTGTAATCTGTTGCGTTCGTGAGGCCTACTATCACCCAAGTTGCTCAAGTAGGGTGGAAACCCATAACGGGGACAGTTAACTCACAAAAAGGAAAAAAAATAACGAAAAAGAAGAAAATTTACTGAGAATGGACAAAAGAAAACTGAGGGAAATTATCAAGGAATCCTTTCATCAATTCCTTAAACCTGTTCAACAAACAATGGAGAAACAAATTAGTGATATTCAGGATTCCATACAGGTTATGTCCAATTCTTTTGAAGAACAAAAACAAACATTTGACAAGATTCTGGAGGAGACACTGACCCTTTAAAAAGAAACTATGGAGTTGAAGCAAAGATTGTCCTCCTTGGAGGACAGATTATCAAGCATGAAAGTAGCTGAAAAATCAAGAAATCTTATTCCAGGTATACCAAAACAGCCTGAGCTAAGTACAAAATGTTATTGTTAACAAAATATTCAAAGCAATGAAACTACCTTTGAACAATGAAGTTATTTCAGAAAGCTGGAGGGGAAACAAGAATGAAAATGGTCCAATTTTGGTGAAATTACTCAACACATAAACCAAAAAGTATATTATTAAGCAATCAAACTGAGAAAAGGCCTTACTACAAAGAAGTGTGATTTGGGTGGAGAAAATCGAAGCGCTGTATATCAATGAGGACTTACCTATTGGCAAACGAGACCTCTTTAAAAAAACAAAGAAGGTAAAAAAGCAATAAGGATACCGAGCTGCATTTTGTCTGAATAGCATTATATTCTTAAAAAAACTGACCTCAACTGGCCTATTAAAATTAGAAAAGAGCAGGATCTCATCTAAAATAGATAAGTAAAAGTAATATATTAAGGGCCGATACTTTTGCTCTCGATTACCGAATTTGATATGTTGTCAAAACCATGGTCAGAAATAAAATTTGAATGTCAGAAATGTGAAATTTTGCATGCTTCCAGCTTTTTTCAAATGGGATGCCCTATATTTCATTCTATATACTTGAAGAGCAAAATGCCCCGATCTATATTTGATTGAGCAATTTCTCATATATTCGGCTCCAAAAATTGTATGCCTACTACTGATTTTGTGAACCATTCTACCTGTATAGGTGAAAGCTGCAGGTAAAATTTGAGGTACTTGGTTTCTCTGATAGTATTTTTAGAACCAAATATGTTATAGATTGCTCAACCAAATATAGACAAACTAAAGTCTGTTTTTTTTTGAAAGATAAAAGTCAAAATGACATTATATTGGCAATACAATGTAAAATTGTCAAAGCTTTCAAATTTTTTATGTAGAAAAGGCTTGTGTTGCCAACATAGTTACTAAATTTTTGACTTGGGGAATTATCTTAAAAAAAAAAACAGATTTTATATAGTTTTGGAATCGGGAAATTATGCTCTTCAAGAATATAGAACCAAATATAGCGCATCCCATTTGAAAAAAGCTAGAAGCATGCAATATTTCACATTTCTGACATACAATTTTTATTTCTGACCGTGGATTCTGAAATTTAGCCAATACTGTACAACTTTTGTATTTACAGCTTTCATCTACCTGTAAAGGTAAAGACAGTAGGTGGGGTGTCAATATACAGGGTTGTCGTTATATATGGAAACAGCCTAATCTCGAGGCTAATATTTCAGAAAGCACTCAAAAAATTTTTACAATATCTACTACCTGGGGGTTTTTGGGAATGCCGATTCAATGGTGGTATTTGTCAACTTTACCGTTTCTAAGATGCCATATGTAACTTCATTTTTTTAAATGAAAGTCCCTCTTTATTTTTATTGTAATTAATTCAGCGTCTCAACATTACTAAAACCTCTAAATGCCAAACCTCCATTTGACTTGGTTTTTGAAATATGACAACAAATTTTTTTGTTGAAATATATGGAAACGGTCTCGTATTTCAGAACAGGCTTTAGAAAAATGTAGAAAATTTCCTACCTGGACCTACCAGCCCCCCCCCCCCATAAATTTTGAATATGCATTATCCTGGGCATTTATCACATTTTTCTGAAATACTTGTTGAATCAATTTTGAATCACGGGATAGTAGTATAGGAAAATGCTGGCGCTTTAGTTCTTTTAAAATTGCATGTTGCACAAAAATGGGTTTTAAAAATTATTCTTTTTAAAAAAACGAGGTATCCCACAAATCTGGTATTTAATGAAAGCAGTGTTCTCAATCTGGAACAGCTATACATAAAATCAGTAATTAGATTTATGTTGAAAAACAATAACTTTAGGTAGAGTAGATTTAGCTCATGGAGCAAATACCAGAGGTGTGAGTCATGGAAATGTGGAATTACAGAGCCCTGAACATGCACATTGTCAGAATCACATATATTGTGTAGGGCCTGAAATATTAATGACCTACCAGGTAAACTTAAAACGCAAAACTATTCCACAGCCAAATCCGAAATTACTAAATGGATAGTTGTTAATAACTATAAGATTGATTATTTGATCTCTAGACAGCCTTTTGGTTTCTACATATACACGCCTGGCATGTAAACATCTTGCCTATTTTAATACGATAGAATGAAAAGTCTAGCGAAAGTCTAAAGTTAAATACAGAACGAACACTAACTTAAGTAGATAAATAACAATCTCACCTTCACTAGAACAGCGGCTTAGTAAAGCTGAAGCTTGGGCCCTGGCTGCAGCTGCCATTTCAGTTTCGCCCAGTTTGACGGCGATATAGTGTAGGTCCATAAATAGATCGTGATGACCAACGTCTACAGCTAGTAAAAACGCAGTTTCAAACATGCTAGTTCTGAGGAGCTGATAGAAAAAACGTCGGGTGATGCACATAACCTGAAATAACTTACTGTTAATCTGAGGAGCCATAAATTTACATTGCAGTACAGCAAAAGAATTATCAAAACGGCAGTCAAGTGTTGGTAAGAGCTATAAGATTTGCTGTGGGTATGATAAAGACAGGATGTCAGAAAAAAATATATAGAGCATGTTGATAAGTTTGAGTTTGAGTCACTTTCTACTTTAGATATCATGAAAATAATTTTGGTTTGAATATAATAATACAAAATAAAAGATAAAAAAAAAAAACAATAATATTCCTACCTGATGTCCAAATTTGTGTCGAACATGGGCAGACAATGGCACTGGTGCACAATGAAAACACCCCAGAGCTTCTTGCAAACATTGCGCAACTTCCTCAGTCAAATTTCTTCTTAACAACTGCATAGCAACTTGCTGCAGCAGAAAAAACGCTTTATCGTCGAACTCCCAGCTTAGAAGTAGCTTTACCGCTTGCTCGACTTTATTAGCCTTCAAATATTGCTTGGCAACAGATTTAAGCCCAAAGGAACCTTTTTGGTGAGTTAAAATTGCTAATGGGCCTTGCTCGAAGGCAATTATCAAATCTTTTGGGCCCCAGTTTATTGAAGCTACGATAAATTGGCTATTGTAGCCACTTAAATCATGTAAAGCAGCCTCTTCTTGAGTTTTTATTACATTCAAGGCAATATCATAGTGTTGGATGAAGCCTCTTTCATTAGCTATAGTTACAATTACATTTTCTGGATGCCATGATGCCAAAGTGGCAATGAATGGGGTTTTTATGATTCGTGTAGAGCCTCTATGTCTGTCTAATATAGCTAAAGTTCCATCTATGCAGCTTATTAGCAGCTTTTCTTTATTGTGGCTTAGACTAGTACAACTTACTTGGGTTTGTAAGGGTACTGACGTTACTGTGAGTCTTTTCAAATTATTTTGGATTAATTGAAAAGTACTTAATTCCAATGACACTTGCCCATTTTGGGTAACTTTTTGCTCAACAACGATTAAATGTTTATCACTGGAAGTTTTATTGATAACGACCAATAATGGCTCCCCATCGGTTTTTCTATAGGCTAACAACTCTGGGTCTCTACAGCCAATGTTGTACAAATGCAAATTGGCTCTTTGATGATCTTTGGTTAATGGACTCCATGGTTGAGGGTGTTCTACAGTGATCTTACCATAGACCACCAGCCAATCTTGATCATAATGCAGTTTCCTTTTATTGCCGCCGTCCAAAACCCAACCCTCTTTCCAATATCCACCAAATCCTAATATGTGTCCATCATTACACACACAAATGGTTTGATTGTTACCAAATAGGGCTCCATCGCATATAATATTGCATTGTAATTTTACAAATAATTGCTTATCGAATGAAATGTTCATTAAATCTCCATTCTGCTGGGTAATAATTACTATCAGGCCTGTAGATAATAGTATCGAAAGTGTGTTATTATCGTTCCAACAATAAAAAATGACTTTGTTGTGAATTAAATGATCTTCGAGCTCTTTAAGTTTATCACGTAGTTTTTCTGGACGTTTGTTGTTTGGGATGTAGACAATGCTTGATTGGTCGCAATAGAGTTTCTTTGCTTGTGCGTGTTGCGATAAGTTTGTGATGTCCTTTTTTTGATAATATCTAGAACAAAATATATCAAATCGAATACCAAACACATATTTCTGTAGCATGTTATCTTGGTATAGGATCATTTTTGAAAAAGATTAATTCAATAAATTGAGAGTTTTAAGTACCACAGAAATATTAAAGAAACTACATAGTGTTTTTCTCTAACAGTTGCAATTGTCTGTTGCAATGTGGAAATGTAAAGCTCCAGAAAGATCCACACATTGAAATAACAAGCAAGAGGGCACTTGCAAAAAATATCATTTTATTTCAATTATATGCTTTGTATGAAACCTGTTTGCGAAATATTATGCTATAAATAAAATTTTCTGAAGAGATATTTAAATAAGAAAATGTTCAAAATTTAAATTTTAGGAAAATATTTTCATTGGTTTGACGTCATTTATCAATGTAAGGTTGTCAGCTTGTTTAGTACATTTTAATCGATTTCGACAAAGGCAATCCAATGACCTGTGAAAAAATAAATTCAATATGGCGGCATTGGTCAAACTTTTTCCAGGGTCTTAAGTTTTTGATTGTTCCCAAACTTCTCTACCTGAAGAAAATCAAGAGTCTGGAATAGAGAAAATTTGTCTCGTTATATTTTTGTCTATTCTAAGAGCTTTCGATTCTTTCCAAACGGTACTTCTCTACATAAAGGAAATTCAAGAGACTGGAAAAAAAAGTCTCATAAAAACAGACTTTTTTAATTTGAATTGATGTGTTGAACATATCAATGCTTTGCCCTGCTAAAATACGATTGCAATCCGATAACATCCTGTTCAAAAGAGAGCAAGTTCTAGGACTGATTGTAAATAATTTATATTCCCTAGGTCTTAAGTTAGTCTTACGAACATGGAACTTAATAAAGTTTATTAAACAAGAATATGCAACAGCGGTCTTTTGCGATTTTTCAAAGGCGTTTGACTGTGTCAATCAAAACATCCTTCTAGAAAAGCTTAAAATTTATGGTTTCAGAGATAAAATCTCTAGTTTTCTTAATTCATATGTAGTGGGAAGAAGCCAAGTGGTTAGAAATGGTCAGACAACATCAGATTTAAAAACACTATCATGTGGGGTACCGCAGGGCTCCGTGCTTGGACCTCTTTTATTCTTGTTGTACATCAACGACCTAGCAAACGTAAGGATAGATGGCTCACTTTTGAATTTTGCAGATGACTCTACAGTGAAATGGCATAGCAAGGACCAGGCACTTCTTAAAAACGTAGTAATAAGGGACATACTTAGAATTAAGAACTGGTGTGATGCCAATGACTTTTGCCTTAATATTGATAAAACAAAAATTTTGAGCTTTAAATTTGATATTGATGATATTGAATTGGAGAACGGGATAATTAGGAATGTACAAAGTACAAAGTTTCTTGGGCTCTACGTGGACGACCGATTAAAGTTTGATGTACATGTTGTTGCATTGAATAAGAGACTGGCATCTGGCTGTTATGCTGTGCGAAGAACTTTTTCAGAGTTGGGTTGCAGTATTGCTAAATCTACCTACTATGCACTTATCGAGTCACACTTGAGATACGGCATTTCGTTTTGGGGCTACTGCAGTAGAGGTCTACTTAATTCGGTTTTTACAATACAGAAAAGAGCTATAAGATATATGTGCGGCAAAGGTATGAGAGACCACTGTAGACCGCTCTTTTTGAGAGAGCAGATTTTGACGGTCGTTTGTTTATTTATATTGGAGACGGTTTGTTTGATATTTAAAAAATATGGGGATCACACTCATGCTCATTCTTACAGTACTCGAAATCGCAACGATGTTCCACTCCCAATTCCTAGATTTGCTTTGACCAGACACTCAGTAATTTTCGAGAGTATTAAGATTTACAATAAACTTCCAAATTATTGTAGGTCTTCTGAAAACTATAGAGGGTTTCGTAGGTCAGTCAAGAATTTATTGAAAGAGAAGGCTTACTATGATTTGGCTGAGGGAGCCACACGTCAACGCTGCTTGGGGGACTGTTGATCAGTTATCGTCACCCTTATGCCTTGTCCAGAGGGGCTTTCCCAACGAGAGGTAATTGCGCTGGACAACGATAAGGATGAACATACCCAGAGGGGCTTTCCCAACGCGAGGTAGTTGCACTGGTTTAAGTCTGCCTGTTGCTTGGCTTCGCCAACTATTTATATCAATTTATTGCTGAATTGCAATAAACATCCGAAGGAATCAGCAATTAAATTAATAAAGTTGAATACCGGGTCCTCCTTTCCTAAGCAGCTAGTTGACAATATTTTACATTATTAAGAATACAATATGTAAAAAGTACAGACTGCATTATTCTTCTATTGCACAAGCTTTGCATATTAAAAGTTTCAAGCATACTTTTCTCGATACTTTTATAAGATATTAGCAAAGGTAAAACTGGATAGATAGAAAATTGTTTGAAATATAGGTACCTCAAGAATTTTTTTTGAACTCTTTTTATTAAATCAATGTTGCTTTCAGCTGTCGGTGACCAAATTACTGAAGCATATTCTAAGTGTGGTCTGACAAGAGCATTGTATAGCTTTATTAATGTGGCAACATTCTTGAACTCTTTGCTATTTCTGATTAAATCCCTACATTTTGTAAGCTTTTTTTACTATTTGGTTGTAATGAAAATTAAAACTCATGTTATTTCAAATTTCAAATTTCAAATATGCTTTATTGTCAGAAAATTATAGTACATTCTATTGACAAAGCAACATCCTTAATAATATAAAATATAAGAACAGATAACAAGTAAAAAAGACACTACAGCAGTGGCACTAGCAAGTGGTAAAATGACTAACAATAAAAGAAAAATTCAGTACTTATTAGTAAATTTGTAACATTTTTAAAATCTAGAACACATCAGTTATTATGGCATTGTGAATCTATTACTAAATCAGGTAGACCCAGTCCTACAAGTAGTATAAAACATAAAACATAAAGTTGAGTTTTAGACACTTACATCACGATACAGACACAAGATCCTGTTAAAGGTTGTCATCAAAATACTCGTCAAGAGAATAAAATGTTTTATCTGCCAATAAACTTTTAACCTTATTTCTAAAAGATTTATAATTTTGATCCGTTCTTAAATTTAATGGTAGTTTATTGTACATTTGTATACTTTTATAAATCATAGAATCCTGAGTTAGAGAGAACCTTGGTATAGGCAAAGGTATCAGGTTGTAGTTCCTTGTTGGATAGGAGTGCGCATGTGTAGTACCCTGGTACCTCTTGTGAACTAAACAGACAGTCTCTAAGATAAAGAGATCCACTAAGGTTAACATTCCCCCCCTCCTAAATAATTCTCGGCAGTGATCTCTGAGACCTGCTCCAAAAATATACCTAACAGAACGTTTCTGAAGAGTAAACACCGATTGAAACAAACACTTACTGCAGTTCCCCCAAAAAGCAATTCCATAGCGCAAGTGGGACTCAACAAGAGCAAAATAAGTGGCCTTAGCCATAGACTGACCCAATTCATAGCACGTTTGGCGTACAGCATAGCCTCCCGCTGCAATTTTTTTATTTAAGTTGATTATATGCTGGAAAAATTTTAAATTGCAGTCAATATTAATTCCAAGAAATTTAGTATCCTGACTGAGACCGATTGACTGATTTCCAAGTTGAAGATTATCAAATGTAAATTTAAAACTGAGAACTTTGGTTTTTTCAATATTAAAACTTAGAAAATTTGAATCACACCATGCTTTTATTTGATGGAGGTCATTAGAAACAATCTCTTTCAAGAGCAGTGGGTCCTTATGGTGCCAAAGGGGCGTAATATCGTCAGCAAAACCAGTGAACATACACTCAAGTGGTAATTCAAAAAGGTCATTAACATACATCAAAAACAAAATAGGTCCCAGGACAGAACCTTGTGGAACTCCTGTGTCAATTGCTAAGGCTGATGATATGGAACTCCTGTTATTAACCATTTGGGTCCTTTTTGATAAATATGAGGTAAAGAATTTCAATGAAGTGTCCCGAATTCCATAAATATACATTTTATTCAAGAGTATGTCATGTCTAACGCAATCGAACGCTTTAGAGAGATCGCAGAAAACCGCAGCTGCAACCTCTCTATCGTTCAGTTTCAAATACAATTGCTCCAGGAAACAGAATACAGCATCACTAGTACTTTTAGATGACTGAAATCCAAATTGACAATCGCTAATTATATTGTTACGTGATAAAAACACAGTCAGTCTATTCTTCACCACCTTCTCCACTATTTTTGACAGGGTATTTAAAAGTGAAATGGGTCTAAAGTTAGCTGGGTCCTTGAAGGAGCCACCTTTATGTATGGGGACCACCAAGGCAACCTTAAGTGAGTCGGGGAATTCACCAACCTCAAAACATTTGTTGATGGCCTGTGACAGCACATATAGTTTTTATTTTTTATGTCTCTGATTATGATTTTAAGTTCCTCTACAGTTGTTTCTGTTAAAGTGAATGTTTCATCGATGTGTGAATGGCTAAGATAACTGAGGGGATCTAAGGCGGGTTCTATCTTGTCTGAAATTTTTTTCGCAATTGAACAGTAGAATTCATTTAGAATGTTTGGCTGAATATCAGCTGACTTTTCTGCATGGCTATGCTTGCCCCTTAGGTCGTTCACAATGGACCATGCCTCTTTTGAAGGGTTTTTTGCATTAGAGATTCTATTTTGATAGTATTGTAATTTTGCTGATCCGATAACTTTCCTATAAATTTTCCGATATTCATTATAATAATTTATAAAATACTGACTATCGGCAAACTTTTTGATGAAATGTAAAGATTTAAGATTTCTTGAGGAAGTCTTAATGCCTTTCGTAATCCAGTTTTTTTTGGGCTTTTTTGCTCTCATATTGCACACTGGAAAGCTCTTGGCAAACGTATTGTGCAACAGTGTATGGAACAATTCCAGAGGCTTTTCTGAAGCAAGCACACACTCCCAGTCCACCAAGGAAAACAAGTATTAAATCTTTCAAAATTCCGACTTGAAAAAATCCTCCCATATCTTTGGGGTATT